ATAACAAACAATAAACAAAATAATATTAACATATTGAAAGTATATCATATAATACAGATTACCAGTATCAATAAAAAGTGTGGCTTTGGAAATTTTATGAAGAAATTTAATGAAGATTTGAGATCATTTGAAGAGGAGAAGTGAGGAAACTGAGAGGGAAGAAGAAGAAGTAAAGAGGAAAGGGATGAAAACCGGTCTAAACAATGAAACTGAGATTTGAAGATATACACCACGTAGTGACGAGTGACGTGAAAATCACGTCGCAATTGCCACGTGATTTTTACGTCGCAACACACTTAACGGTTATAAAATATTCACTCACTCTGTCCAAAGACTGCAACTTGTCAAGTCAAAACCATACAAAATCCCTCTTAAAAAGTTGCGACGTGAAAAACACGTCACAACTAAATTTTTAAAAAAATTTAAAAGTTCCTCCATCTGAATGTTACAGCTTTTCTTTTATTTTATTTTAACTTTTTGGTAGCGACGTGAATCCCACGTCGCAACAAATTTTATTTAAAAAAAAAAAAAATTTCTGCAGTTGAACGTTATATTGATTTTTTTAATATATAAATTTTTAGTGACGTAAATGTCTTTTTTTAACCAAATAATAATTACGTCACAACTTTATGTCGCTGGGGAGCATATTTTTTATAATATATATATATATATATATATATATATATATATATATATATATATTATATATATATATATATATATATATATATATATATATATATATATATATATATATTATATATATATATATATATATATATATATATATATATATATATATATATATATATATATATATATATATATATATATATATATATATAGTTTTTCATCATTACTCAAAGGTTTTAATATATCCTTCTACAATAAATTTCAAACACACTATATTAATGGTGTCCATCTATATTAAAATTTTCAAGACGAATGAGGAACAGAAAGTCACGATATAAAGATAAATGTAAGTTAGATTTCTTTGTTACAACTTGTAATTCTGAAAATCTTAGGAGTAGAAACTTTGTAGTTGAACAACCTCTAAACTAAACTAAAAGGGTTTTAGAAAGAGGAGTAAATAGATTCAAAATATTCATCAATTTCGATAAGATGTGAAGATGTGAAGAGTTCATATGTTACTTGATCATTCCTGTCATGACTTAGAATAGTCAATATTAGCTCCCAGCTCCACAGTCAATTCAATGCCTTTGATTTCATTTTCATTAAACAAGTGGCCACTGCCCATACATGCTATTTCAATTCAATTCTACACATCCAAATTATATCTGGCATGGAAGATTCTTCTTCCAACTGTTTCAACATATTTTTAATTTGACACAAAAAAAATATATGTCTTTGCATTTGAGAACATGTTTTTCTAAGCTTAGAAAACTGTTTAAGTTTCTTACAACATCATCAATTCTTGTCCATTCATTTCCTTACAACCTGCTCAACATCATCAATTCTTGTCTATACATTTCCTTACAGCCTGTTCTAATTCCATACAACATTAATTCATTCACTTCTTTTTTTAATACTCAAAATATGTTATTTTATTCTTTATTTATAAAACTAACTACATAACATATTTAATATAGAAAAAAAGGAAACTTTGTTTAATACTACCATAACTCTTCTACTCAAAATATAATAAAACTATAACTTTACAAGTTGCCATAAATCCACCCTGGCACAAATATTAACCCATATATATATAAATCTTTCCTCAATATACTAAACACAAATCAAAACACAACATACACGTAAAATCCTTTTATTTTCATGGCTTCCATGCACACCTCAACAATATTTTTTTCTTCTTTTTCTTTATGTTCTTCAAAGAGAGTAAATGTAAATGCCTCAATCCATGTTCCAAGACCCAATTCTGCACTTCCTAAGAATAATATAAGCATTAGATCAAAGCTGATTGAAGGGTTGAGTACGTTGACAAACTCATCACTTCCTTTATCATTACTTGAAAATAATGACTTGTCCAATTCTGCAATCTCAAACAGTCCCACCATTCAACTCCATGCTATCTTAGAAGCTGTATCCGACAGAATCGAAATGCACAGAAACATAGGCGAACAGCGTCAGAATTGGAACAACCTACTTCTAAACAATATCAACATGATTACACTCACTGCTACTACATTAACCGGTGTTGCAGCTGCAAGTGGTGCTGTTGGTTCACAACTTTTGGCTCTGAAACTATCATCCACACTTCTGTTTTCTGCAGCAACTTGTATGCTTCTTGTCATCAACAAGATTCAGCCTTCGCAACTCGCGGAGGAACAACGCAATGCTACAAGATTGTTCAAACAACTTTGGACTCAAATCCAAACCAAAATGAGTCTTGGTAGTCTTATTACCGAGGAAGATGTGGAATCTTCAATGGAGAAAGTGTTGGCACTTGACAAAGCTCATCCACTTCCTTTGTTAGGAGCTATGCTTGAAAAATTTCCTGCAGAATATGAACCTGCTGTTTGGTGGCCTGAAAAGAGAAGAGAGGGAAATGCAGCAGCAAGAAAGACGATGGAGAGGAATAGTAGTAATGGGTGGAGTGAAGAACTGGAAACTGAACTGAGGGAAGTTATGGAAGTTATGAAGAGAAAAGACATAGAGGATTATGAGAGACTTGGGAACATAGCATTAAAGATTAACAAGAGTTTGGCAATAGCAGGTCCAATACTCAGTGGAATTGCAGCTATAGGTTCTGCATTTGTAGGAAATGATGATGGGTTGTTTTCAGGCATTGTTCCTATAATGGCAGGGTCAATGGCATGTGCAGTAAATAGTTTAGAGCATGGTGGACAAATTGGTATGGTATTTGAAATGTACAGAAACTGTGGTGGATTTTTCGGGATGCTGGGAGAGAGTATTGAAAGCACACTCGAAGAGAATGATATGGAAAAAAGAGAAAATGGTGAGATATTTGAAATGAAGGTAGCAATGATGTTGGGAAGAAGTGTTTTGGAGCTAAGACAAGTTGCTTCTTGTATGGACGAATTTGCTAGCAAGCTTTTTTAAGATAACCTACTTCATTCATGACAATGACAATACATTCTTTTGTTCCTATTTCAAATATTTAATCTTTTACAAACTTAAATAAGGTCATATTAGTCCTTAAATCATTGAGCTGTTTCTAAACTTATGACATGCACATCAACTTTTCTCTCTCTATATATATATAAAAGACTTGTGTGTCTGCACGGGTTCTATCATTTGTAACTTTAAGTAAAATTTATAATTGTAATGATAGAATGTGTAAGTAATAAAATGTAAAATAGTAGTAAGTTGTGACCAAAATGTTATATTTACGGGTAATATTAATGTCAATAACTAATGAAAGAATAAATTTTATAATTTGTATCTAGAAAAGGATACTTTTTAGTATGTAACAGAAAAATCATGCCCCAAAAAGAAAAATAAGTTTTTTTATATTTTATATCATTCGATAAGGCTTGGTCGTTGCAAATATATAATTGTTATTATAAAATCATTAATAATTACAAATATTTAAAAATAAATATGTAACAAATCATCATCATGATAATTCAATATGTCTAATAACTATAAATATCTATAAATATGATTAATAATTATAAATATTTACAAATATTTTATTGATTAAAATAAGAAAAGTATTGTGGTGATAGTGATATGTGAAATAAGTGAATTTCAGTGATAAAATTTAAAGAAATTAGTAAAATTTACAAATATCTCTCTCGTTGTTTCATTAGAATACAATAATAAATTTATAGTTTTAGTGATAAAATTTACAAGAGTAGCATTACAAATTATAAAATGAGAAAATTAAAAATTATAAAGGATAAGTGAGATTTCTCAGTTTTGAACCCATACCTATGCAATCAAATATTACTTCAGTTATCAACTTAGCTAAATTAAAAAAAAAAACTTTTAATTGTTTGTGAGACAAAAGAATAACCTTATCAAGATATATAAGGTTATCGAAATTGAAAGTAATTCGGAGTTAGATCTCATATCTTAACAATTTTCCATTTCAATTAGGGTTGTTCATAATATAGTACACTACAAAAACTGAACCGAACTAAATCAAATCATAATTAAAAGTCACTCAAATCTAGCCCAACCTAAATTATTGGTTAGGTATACCTTTTTGAAATTCCCTACTATACTGAATTGTTAGAGGACAATTTCCTCCTAACCGAATCATTTATTAAAAAATCAAATTATTAACTATTTTTGATTTTTTTTTTAAAAATTAAAACTTATGTTTAGATTTGAGCATGGTATCAAGATAAAAAAACATTAATCAATTTTAAAAAATAAACTCACTTCAGCTCCTGCGCAACAGGTATCAGGACAACTAAATTTAAATTCAAGAGAAACTACATTTAGATTCATAGGTCTTGTGAATAGAAGAGTTCGAATACTCTATATATATAGCCACTGCACCGTGCATGTATCCATGACATGAAGTAATTTTACAACATTTTCAAAATTTAAAAAAGTACCTTAAAATCCTCTCCATTCTCTTAAACTTTAGCAATTAGCTTCAAGTATTGAAAAGTCCAATTTCCCAATAATAAATCTAAAATCACTATAATGTACTTTACGTGGAAATAATAATGTGTTTTACCTTTGAAAAAGTCCAATGAATGACCTGTAATATCTGTTAGACCATTTACAATGGTTGAGAAACTTAACACCCACTTTTTCAACTCCCAACACTCCACATCATTTTCTCTTTCTTCCACCTAATAACTCAACATTCATTCAACTTTTACCCTCTCCAATGGTTTTTCACTCAACACCCTACCCCACCACTTTTTATTTTCATATTCTTATTTAAATTTTATTTTTATTTTTATGATTACATAAAATTACAATTATCGATTAAAATTAAATTAAAATAATAAATACTTAATAATTTATTTTTTAATTTTTTGTAATAAAAACAAAATTTATTTAAATAATTGGATACGATACAAATCATCTTAAATTAATTTAAAATACAACACACAATTAACGTAATTAGTACGTTACAAATAATTTAAAATGCAATACAACACACAAGTAACGTAATTAGTACGATACAAATAATTTAAAATGCAATACAACACACAAATAATTCAATCACGGAACATTCCAAACTTTGTCCATATGTGCTTCACTAGATCGGCTTGCAATTCTTGATGAACATTTGGATCACGGAACTCTGATCTAGCACGCACATGATTTGCAAAAGCGGGTAACACCTCGGTCGAGTATGGTTGTGGTGCACTAGATCCACTTTCCCCAGACTGCTCAAAATCGGTCCAACGTTGAGAATATGAATCTCGTTCATCCTCAACAATCATATTATGTAATATGATGCATGACCTCATGATGATACCCAAATCAGCTATGTCCCACAAGCGAGCTGGTTCACGGATGATTTTAAATCGAGCTTGGAGCACTCCAAATGCACGTTCGATGTCCTTCCGACATCCCTCCTGAAATTTTGCAAATAATTTATCGGGTTCACTTTGAGGAAGTCTAATCGATTTGACGAAAGTTGGATAAGAAGGGTAGATACCATCAGCTAGATAGTATGCCATATTATATGGACGTTGATTCACAAAGAAATTCACACTTGGAGCCTTTCCCTGTTCCACGTCATCAAACACTGGTGACCGGTCTAGAACGTTTATATCGTTCAACGTTCCCGGACATCCAAAAAAGGCATGCCAGATCCATAGGTCATGAGATGCAACTGCTTCAAGAATAACTGTGGTGGTTCCCTTATCCCCTCTAGTAAATTGTCCTTCCCATGCTTTAGGACAATTTTTCCACTCCCAGTGCATGCAGTCAATACTCCCAATCATCCCTGGGAACCCCCGCATTTCACTAACATGCAGTATTCTTTGCAGGTCATCTTGGGTTGGTGCTCTCAGATACACTTGCTCGTACAAGCGTATGATTCCTTTACAGAATCGACGTAAGCACTCCAATGCTGTAGTACCTCCTATTTTGATGTACTCATCGACCGCATCTGCTGCCACACCATATGCTAACATTCGCATTGCTGTGGTACATTTTGCTAAGGGTGATATACCTTCTTTATTGGCTGCATCAACTCGCTGGGTGAAGTAGTTATCACTACTTGAAAGGTCCCCAACGATTCGAAGGAAAAAATTTTTTTTCATCCGGTACCGACGACGAAACATTGCATCGTCATATGTAGGCTCATTGGCAAAGTAGTCACCAATTAGTCTTTGGTTTGCCGCTGCATGATCTCTATTGAGATATTTTCTACTACGAGGTGCATTATCTTCCGATATTTTGTTTCTACGCTCTCTAAATCGATTGACTATATAATTTTCTTCAATTTCACGATTTTGATTGTAGGCTGCGATATCAAAATGATATTGTGATGGATCCATTTTTTTGTGATATTGGAGGTAGATTGGATGGGATTTGGGATATTGGTACATAAATGGATGTATGAGTCCCTATATATAAATGGATGTGGGTGGTGGACCACTGACGGATTCGAAATAATTTATTGTATATAGTTAATTATCAGATAAGGAATAGATTCGAATTGGGTGGTGGACCACTGACGGATTCGAAATAATTTATTGTATATAGTTAATTATCAGATAAGGAATAGATTCGAATTGGGTGGTGGACCACTGACGGATTCGAAATAATTTATTGTATATAGTTAATTATCAGATAAGGAATAGATTCGAATTGGGTGGTGGACCACTGACGGATTCGAAATAATTTATTGTATATAGTTAATTATCAGATAAGGAATAGATTCGAATTGGGTGGTGGACCACTGGCGGATTCGAAATAATTTATTGTATAGAGTTAATTATCAGATAAGGAATAGGTTTGAATTGGGTGGTGGACCACTGACGGATTCGAAATAATTTATTGTATAGAGTTAATTATCAGATAAGGAATAATTAAAGCAAACACTACACTGGCATATTGAAACAACAATAATTAAAGCAAACACTACACTGACATATTGAAACAACAATAATTAAAGCAAACACTACACTGGCATATTGAAACAACAATAATTAAAGCAAACACTACACTGGCATATTGAAACAACAATAATTAAAGCAAACACAACACTGACAAATACTTCATTGAAATTAATTATCAAACAGTTCTGCCTCCAACTTTTTCAACAGTTGGTTCTTCCGGTCATCTAGATGCTCTTCGGAAGTTAGCTTTAGATACATCTTCATTATCTTGGTTTTAGTCTTCTCCAAGGCTATATTGTTAGCCTGCTGTTGCATCAACGCTATGTTGTCCAATCGTTCAAGCTCTTTCGTCTTGAATTCTTTGTATTCAGCCCATTCTTTGTCCACCACCTCCGAGGCATATCCCTTGCTTTTCTTTTTACCCTTTTTTTTTAGCTGCCTCCCTTCCTATAGGACGAGCACTGGATTCTACAGTGTTTGAGCCACATGCATCACTCTCGCGAGATCTCTTAGATCCACTACTTCCTGAGCCAATATTTCCTCCTACTTGACTACCATAACGTGGTTGATCACGGAGAGCGTGCCATTCTTCCATTAAAGTGAATTTAACATTCTTCCCACATGCATATAATTCCTGCGCTTTTGCCAAAACATCATTCTCCGACCAACCACTTCCTTGCATACGCTTAGCGCCATCATAAGCGCCAATCCATTTACCCAACACTTTGTTCATATAATTAAAACGGTTTCGGCATGCAGGTCCATCACGCGGAGGATCGAATGAGCAATGCTCATTACAATACTCAGCAATTTTACCCCAATATGTTTCACCTTTCTGGTTTCTCCCGACAACACTGCTTGTTCCAAATTTAATCCACCCACTAATTAGAACCAAATTTTGTTCAGTGTTCCATGCTGGTTGCTGAGTTTTCCTGCTCTTAGGAGTTGAATCCTCTGAATTCGGACCGACTTCATTAGAAACAATCATGCCACCAATAGTTAGTTGTGTTGAAAACTCGGGAAATTCAGGTACACCACCACTTGGAAAATTTGCATTCGCCATTGTCACATAACCATTAAACGGGGGTGTTTGAGATGGATTTCTCGGCATAGATCCATAATATGTTTGAAATTTTGGAACAGAGGATGTCTGGTTGAAATTTGGTGGAAAACCAAAATTAGGTATGTTTTGAGGATGTTGGTTGGAAAATTGATTTGGATTTTGATAATAGTTGGGATTTTGATAATTGTTGGGATTTGGAAAATTGTTGGGATTTTGGTTAAATGGAAAATTAGCAGAATTTTGAGTGTTAAAATGATTATTGGGATCCATTTCACTAAAAAAAGACACTTAACTTCAAAATAAACACTAATAATAAAATTAAGATAGTGAAAAACTTAGTTTTTTTTTCTGTGTCCAAATCAAATGAACCAAGTCTCTATTTATAGAGAAAAAAAAATCATGAATTTTGGTAAAAAAAAAATAAAAAAAAATTAATTTGCAACGAAATAATTGAGTTCAAAGTATTAAATGGATAAAAATCTGGTCAGCCAATCAAGCACAGCCACGTGGCTGCACTTATCCCTTTTCTCTTTCTCTCTCCGCGTGGATTAAGACCCACTCTCACCCCCAGCGAGTGGGCTACACGCGCCTGGCCCAGACCAATGAGGCGCTGCCACGTCATGCCCTTGGTCAGCTTCAATTGTGTTGAGTTTTCTCAACACCTCTCTCTTCCAACACACACTCAACACCTCTCTCAACACCCATTGGAGGAGATTTTGCATGTTGAGTTCAAACTCAACATACCCATTGCACATGGTCTTACGGTGCCTCCTACCTCTTGTGTGATGATAACACCAGCAGCATGATCCCATACCTTCTCCTTGTGACATAACCATGACCGTAATTTAAAACATCGCTGACTGAATACAAATAGAAAACATATGAATAATCCCAAGTTGAAATATCAAGAAACCTACAATCCCATTAGGTAAAATATTTAAAAGATAGTGTTTTACCACAAAATTTAACCTTTCATTTTTTTAAAATTTTCTCACAAGATCTTCCATGACTCAAATTTGCAGCACTGATACATCAATTTAGGTTTGGATTAGGCACAAGGGTAAAATGGTCAAAATGCACACTAAAAAGTCAAACTTTGAATTTTTGATCAAAATCAAGTTTCAAGAATCACATTTCATCAAGACATGTTAGAATATGAAGTTGGTTCATCAAGAAAATCAAAAGTCAAAATTACTTTGGAAAAGTCAAAGTTCTAAACACTTAGAAATTTTTCTAAGTGTTAAGAAAGTATGATGAGTTCAGAACTTTTGACCAGATTTTCATCATGATGCAAGTTGATTCAGGAAGAACTTCTGATTCAAGAGTTGTAGATCTCAATGAGATCTAAAACATTGCAGAACAGAACTCCTCCTAGAAATGCTGGGATTTCAAGTTATAAATCCTTGAAGACACGTCCATGAAACTAAAACACTTAGTAAATTCTGAGCATTTTCAAGTCAGAATTTAATTAGAACTTCTGGGTCAGTTTTCACGTAGACACAATCAGAGTTTGCAAAAATTATTCAAAGAGGGGTTACAAAACATGTTACAAGCTTTCTAAAAAGTCTGAGAACCCCTTCAGATCATGCTGGAGCAGGGAGAATCAAAGATCAGAAGTTGGACATTTGTTCTTAATCTAAGTTACGTTTATGCTGAACTTTTGATCCAGTTTCAAGCTATGCTGCATAATCTCATGTTGTAGACCTTCTTGCTTGTTAAATCTCATCATAATTTAATGCTTACACCAACTTTTTAGTTTTTGTCCTAGTGTCTAAGCCTTTATCCAAAGGATCTCCCCATGTGTGACATAAAAGTAACATTGTTGTCCTTGAAAAGCAAACTTTTGTACAAAGTTTATTTTGAGTCCATACTTTACTTTATTTCTGAGTGTACTTCCCCATAAATCATGCTTACAGACTCAGATTAGACGTGTTTAAAGCTGCTAACCACTCTACGTTGCCTTGAAACCATACTTGTCTAAACTTACTTCAAAAACAAGTCAACGATCCATAACACATGATAGTTGTACTCCTGACTTCTCCAAGCTCCTAAATCCTTTGCCTATAAATTAAACTTCATTTGCAAACTGAAGAGGATTGGAAAAAAAACCCAAAACCTTGCTGAAAATTCCCAAGAACCTGAAACTGCAACACAAACAGAAAACCTGCTAGTTTTTAGTTTTTGCATCCAAACTCTAATTTTCCTTGTGTGTTTCTTGGCCAAATCATGCACACAGTTTCTGATATACACGTAGAAGCTTTCCCAACTTCTGCTTTCGAACTATAATACAATCTTCACCACTTTCCATTTCAGAAATCAGAACTTTGCATCTTGACTGCTCCAGAGCATTCCAACCATCTGTAACTCAAGTTGAGGGTTGCTTTAGCTTTCTGAGAACTTGAGGAAGCTGACCAGAAGATCCCAACAGTCTGAACCAGGCTCTAACTCACAGAACAATCTCCAGCTGCAAGGTAAGTTTCTTCTGATTTTCATCTCATTACTTAGGCATTGTTAGGCTTGCAATTTCAAAGACATAATGTAGATATCATGGCTCTGAATCTGTACATATTTATAGATTTCATTTATATGGCCTAAGTAGAGAGAATTTCAAGTCAGAACTTCTTGAGAAAATTAGGGTTCAGAATTAAGATTAGCAAAATCCATGCTTGCTTTTGGTTTACAGTTTTAATGCTTTGTATTTCTGAAACCATGACAAAATTTGCCATAACTTCTATGTTTGCATTTTCCATTTTGTTGAGAAATGACTAAGTTGCAGATATTGTGGTTGACGTGAAGAAGAAGATGAAGTTCATCATCATAACTTACTTTGTAATATGTGTTCATGTTTTTGCTTCTAATATCATATGTATAGCCACCCCAGTGGTAGAGAGCGCGCGCGTAAGGCATTAGTGTTCAGGGTCTGGGGTTCTAGCCCCAGAAGCATCTTTTATGTTTATTTCTCAACATTTTTACCCCATTATTTATCAAACAATATTCCTAGATCAGTACTTCTAGATAAACCCCTCCATTTGTTTGTCAAAACTGTACTCTTGGACCATAATTTCTAGATATTCTCATCCAACAGCATTTTCACCTCACTTACCCACTATCATAACTTCTAGCCTTCCAGTAACACTAGAACTTCTAGGTTTCCAGCAGCATCAGAACTTCTAGGCTCTCTCAGCAATCATAACTTCTAGGTTTTCCTTTGTTCCCAGCAACCCCAAAACTTTAGTGCGTCTGGATTCAGAACTTCTGGCTTTCCCCTTTTCTTCTAATATTTTCTTTCTGATTTGCAGCACTCCTGAGTCAGAACTTCTGCTCTCTCTTATTTCTATTCTTTCAGAAATGTGCTGACTCTAACTCTTATTCTCTTATTATTTTTATCCTCACTTTTATTTTCATTAATCAAAAATACCAAAAATACTTTATATTCATATACCTTGCTTTATTTCTTTTAAAACAAAAAGACTAAAAACATTTCCTTAAGAAAATTTATTTCTTCTCTTAATAAAAACAAAACAAATCTATTTTTACATTTCTTGTACATTATTTCAATATGGTTGTAATACATAATTAGGACTTTAATTTCTTGCAACCCCCATTTGTAAATTTGTACACCCCATCCCCAAGCGATTGTAATAGTGTAGGATATTTACTTTCCGCAATTTATTTCTTTCATATAAATGCTAGTAATTAGGTTTTTGTATGGAAAGATAAAATCAATGCTTAGAAAGCCCTAATTCAAGATAAATCAAGCATGGAATACAAACACTTGCACACTTGCACCTCTAGAGTTAACTCCATTTGTTTCCTTATGAAAACATGGTCATGTTATGCATGTGAGGCGTCTTAGCAAAAACAATCAAAAATACAAGATCATAATCCCTCGATGACGCTTTGAATTTTGTCTTACAATTGATCTTAGTCCCTCAAGAGAAATGCTAAGATATCTCACAACATTGCTATCATGATTATACGATGATCCACACCCGTCCCATTACATCCAAAGATAAGGCTTCTTACCAATCAATGGTAAGATAGAAACATCTAAAGGAGGAGGAAAATAATAAAGACTTTTGAGTGGGTAGAACATTCTTACTTTCTTGCTCACAATCTATCTTCAAAACAAACATCTTTTCAAACTCACTAAACACTTTCAAAACATAAAATATTTTCAAAAAGTCCAACACTTTGTATGCATTCTTATAGAGACGAGAATCATTACAAAGTTTGCCTAAACGAAGGCGCTTTTCAAAAATACTTTCAAAATCCACTATAAAACACACTTTCAAACAAAAGCGATGATCTAGCAAGCAACTAAGACCCATAGATAATTGTGGATGAAAAGGGTGCTAACACCTTCCCTTTTCATAATCTACCCCCCGAACTCAAAATAATCTCAAAGGTCTTTCCGGTTCTTTTCACCCTTTCATTTATTGGATAAAAGAAAAGTCGGTGGCGACTCTTGCTATCCGCAACAATTGCGATCAAACGTAAAACATCCAAGTCAGTTCTCCCACCGTATTAAAGAACTGGCGACTCTGCTGGGGAAAAATTAAAAGTGGGGTTACCTTAGGGCTAGATCACCTTTACTTGCTTTTCTTTATTTGACTTGTTTGCTTTACATATTGGTTCCTTGTTTGGGCATGTTTTGATCCTATACCCGGATCTGGGGCACCTTTTTAGGTAAGTAACGATAGATTATGGAAATTGTACGGCGTAGACCAATATAGTTGAAGCAATGGCTATGTTAGTGTGACGCATTTGTTGGTACCGGTATCCCTTATGTTGAATCGAGGAGAATACGGAGCCGCTGAGCGGTGTCATGAAGCACTAACTGACCTTAGAACCTTAATTGAACAACTTGTCCATTAGGAAGTAGTGAGATAGTCGGTTTCGGTGGAAAGCTGAAAATTGGTTGATACTCGATACTACACTCACTGAGATCGGACTTTTGGGATATCTCGGCCGCAAGAAAAGATTGATTGTGCTGAGACAATGCCTAAAAGAAAGGTCAGTAATATTGAGATCCCCTAGAACCCGGTTACTTTCTAAGACAGGTTGAGCCAACTAAACTTCAAGAGGGTGCTTACCTACCAACTCCATGCAAGCCTAAACCTAAGGATTTATCTGCTTTGTGTGTACATAACAACTTGCTTGCTTTGCATACTTGTACATAACATCATAAACATCATAACATCATAAGAATTCTCACTAACCATTTCAAGGATTTAGAGATTTATCTTTGCTTTGTTTTGTAGGCCATG